CACACACACACATACACGTGCATGCACGTCGCTATATAAGTGCAATAATCTTGGACGCGACGTTAAACCCAATTTCACCTGACCTCACCTCACCTGTCTCTATGTTGTTGTGAATTAGAAACGTCAACGCCTGAGAATAATCAGTTTCAAATATTTGCCGAAACAGATTCCATGGGGCATTGCAACGTGATGAATTATATGAAAGGAGTGATCTCGTAAAGAGTAAGCAATGTACTGCTCTATCGGTAGCACCGCCACTCAAATCTGAAGAGAAACGCTACAAAGTCCCTTCTACGATTCCGTACCTGACTCGAATACATTATGTCTGGCAGTTCATGATCACATTAACAAGAAAACGTTGATGCAAGGCATCAATACGGTGGCAGCAATTTATCATATGTCTTTATTTAAACGGTTTGGTGTGGTTTGGTTTGTTGTTTTACGCCGCACTCAGCAATATTCCAGCTTTGTGACGGCGGTCTGTAAATAATCGAGTCAGGACCAGACAATCCAGTGATTGATATCATGAGCATCGATCCACGGAATTGGGATCGATGACATGCTTCAACCAAGTCAGCGAGCCTGACCACCCGATCCCGTTAGTCGCCTCTTACGGCAAGCATGGGTTGCTGAAGACCTATTCTACCCCGGATTTTCACGGGTCTTATTAAAACGGCAAACAAATAAGGTTACAATAAAATAATTTCCCCAAAATGTTTATTCAACACAGGCATCTTTAAAAGAATATGAACAATACAGGTTATTCCATGTTTCACGTCACACGTGAGCGCCTCTTGTGATGAACAAGGCACGTCATCACGGTCTCCTCGTTATTACCGTAAAGTTTCCGACAAATGTCCGACTTTTCAGGGTTTAATAAAATATAACTGAACAACTAACATCATACAGGGAAGTTTATCATAAAGAAGACCAAATATGACTTGTTATAAATATTTGTTTAAAACAATAGAAATGCGTGTACTTAAAGTCTCAGTTACCGAAAAGTCCCATAGAATGTTTTTAGGGAACTATGACTAGTAGGCCGCTGTGACATCGCCGCCGGGGAATTACACGGGGTCACCGTCTTAGTGTCACACACTGAAGTATAAATCACAACGATCCAGGCGATGTCTATTCAACAAGTCTTGAAGCTTGAAGGAGCTTGAAGGACCTGTTGATGCGCACTGTGACTGGGGTGTAACACCAGTCTGCCTTCACCAGGGGCTCACTTCATAGAAGAAAGGGGGTCAGTTTCCTTTGGGGGGTTTGGGATGGGGTGGGGGAAGCGGGATAGGGTAGGGGTATCACCAAGGGTCTCTCTTCACCAGAGGGTCCATTCACTGTTCTTCATGCCATCCGAGTGTCCCTGTTCTGTCGACAAAACATCCTGACGCATCGTTTTCTAAACCCTGGGTTGGGGATACGTCTGCACATCGGGCAGTGGAATTTAATCACTTGTCCGGATGTAATTCCGACTGAATGAACTGAAAATACCATATCCGGTTAGTGAAAGCCTGCAAATAACTACAGTAACAATACTAAACATTTTAACATCAAATAAACTTCTTGTTTCTTTATTACTTTTTTAAAAAATTGGGAGAGATCTGCGTGGTTTTTTCTTTATTCTTTTTTAAAACTTTAGAGTGAAATGTACACACGTGTAACTTAATGGTCCTTTTATAGTTTGTTTGTTTGTTTGTTTTTAACGCCGCACTCAGCAATATTCCAGCTATATTACGGCGGTCTGTAAACAATCAAATCTGGACCAGACAATCCAGTGATTGATATCATGAGCATCGATCCACGGAATTGGAATACGATGACATGCATCAACCAAGTCAGCAAGCCCTACCACCCGATTCCGTTAGTCGCCTCTTACGGCAAGCATGGGTTGCTGAAGACCTGTTCTACCCCGGATCTTCACGGGTCTTATTAAAACGGCAGACAATTAAAGTTACAATAAAATAATTTCCCCAAAATGTTTAATCAACACAGGCATCTTTAAAAGAATATGAACAATACAGGTTATTCCATGTTTCACGTCACACGTGAGCGCCTCTTGTGATGAACAAGGATCCCGTTAGTCGCCTCAAACAGCAAGCATAGTCGCCTTTTGCGGCAAGCATGGGTTGCTGAAGACAAATTCCAACCTTGAATATAGATTGAGCGAATGAGTGAGTGTTTTGACCAGTATTTGAGTTAGGCCGCCTTGTATCGCAACACATATCGATATTTCTGATAACTCGAGGTATTTTCCCAATCGCGAAGTTTCAGTGTATTTTCATTTATGTTTTTTAATGGAAGTTCTTTGTGCTTTTGTGTAAACCTACTATTTTGAAAATGGGCGGTCGGGTAGCCTAGTGGTTAAAGTGTTCGCTCGTCACGCCGAAGACCCGAGTTCGATTCCCGACATGGGTACAATGTGCGAAGCCCATTTCTGGTGTCCCCCGCCGTGATATTGCAGGAATATTGCTCAAAGCGGCGTAGTACCACACTCACTTAGTCTATTTTGAAAAAACACATACCATTCATTGAAGATAAATAAGATCATCGTGGCTCCACGTACACAATACATGTTGTTTCGCCACCTATGCCTTGGCACACTGACAAGACACCCGATGAACATAAAAAACACTATCTGGTTCAATATCATCAATGAAATCATCGAAAAACTACGTTTGTCATGTCAGATTATGATGGCATACCGTTGGGGACATTCTCGCGTTCTCGAGATCTCGACCTTTGGAAACAAGTTACATTGGTCTTCAGCGCGAGATCTTGAGAATGTTCTTTATTGTATCCCGTTGATTTTTCATATCCCCATAACACAATAGACGTAAAAGGTACATATCTGGCAAGTGTATATATACATACCCTTTTTGCATGCCACTGCCACTGTCATGGCCGCCAAGACTGCAAGCGCAATATACACAGGTCGCATGGTGGGAAGGTCTTGCCAGCGTCGTCAAAACGGCGGAGTCTTCGTCAGTGACACTGAACACACAAGAGAGCTCAACACATCAGATCATATCCGGCACTGTACATGAGTGAGTCAGCCAGTAAATTAGTTCCTCATCGGTTCATAGAAGGACAAAGTGTCAGGTTTAACAGTAACATTTCGTGTGCATACGTCATGGGTATTTAGTCTATTATTGGGCTATTATTATGCAATAGGTGTTTTTGAGAAAATTCCAGCCTTCTCGGAAAAGCGAGTGTAGTTTTTAATAACTGAACTCCGGTTTTACTAGTTCAACAGGAGATAAAGTCTACAGTTTGTCAGATGAGTTGTGGTGGTGGGAGATAATCTGATGATAGCATGTATGTAGGAGGAGGTAATCTGACTGTAGCATGTGTGTAGTAGGAAATAATCTGATGATAGGCTGATGTGTTGAGTGGGTGATGACTGTATGTGGCGAGGAGATAATCTGTTGATAGCATGTCTGTAGGAGGGGATAATGTGATAATAGCATGTCTTTAGGAGGAGATAATCTGATGATAGCATGTCTGTAGGAGGGGATAATGTGATAATAGCATGTCTTTAGGAGGAGATAATCTGATTATAGCATGTCTTTAGGAGGAGATAATCTGATGATAGCATGTCTGTGGGAGGAAATAATCTGATGATAGCATGTCCGTAGGAGGGGAAAATCTGATGATAGCATGTCTGTAGGAGGAGATAATCTGATGATATCATGTCTGTAAGAGGAGATAATCTAATCATAGCATGTCTGTAGGAGATAATCTGATGATAGCATGTCTGTAGGAGGAGATAATCTGATGATAGCATGTCTTTAGGAGGAGATAATCTGATGATAGCATGTCTGTGGGAGGAAATAATCTGATGATAGCATGTCTGTAGGAGGGGATAATCTGATGATAGCATGTCTGTAAGAGGAGATAATCTAATCATAGCATGTCTGTAGGAGATAATCTGATGATAGCATGTCTGTAGGAGGAGATAATCTGATGATAGCATGTCTTTAGGAGGAGATAATCTGATGATAGCATGTCTGTGGGAGGAAATAATCTGATGATAGCATGTCCGTAGGAGGGGAAAATCTGATGATAGCATGTCTGTAGGAGGAAATAATCTGATGATAGCATGTCTGTAGGAGGAGATAATCTGATGATAGCATGTCCGTAGGAGGAAATAATCTGATTATAGCATGTCCGTAGGAGGGGAAAATCTGATGATAGCATGTCTGTAGGAGGGGAAAATCTGATGATAGCATGTCTGTAGGAGGAGATAATCTGATGATAGGCTGATGCCAGCACACAAGTCCTGGTCTGTTGTCTGTGGGAGCTAAGCTTTAACTGCCATCAATCATCTGCATGCCGAGCAATTGCGACCCGTAATAATCACATTAACACAAGGTTATGTATGTATCATTTTATTTACGTAGTTTGTGACAAAATATATGTGTATCAACAAAGTGTTAAATAATTAGAGTGAGTGATCATGAGGAATTCATGATCTAAATACAATCGGGGCTCTGTTTGATAATCTATACACACTCAGGGCTCTGAATAATGATCTATACACATTCGGGTCTCTCCGATACACATTCAGGGCCCAATAACTGATATGGGGACCAACCCTGTGTGAATGGGGGAAGGGTGGGGTTTTTTTTTTGGGGGGGGGGGGGGGGGGGTATAAAGTGAAAATGCATTGAAATTGACCGTATTATTACTCTATACATTCAAATGGTTGAAATCTCTTGAATGACAGTTCCACAGCACCCTTGAAGAATAAACGGTTGTACGACTGTTTCTCGGCGTATTTATATTATAACAAATTGTACTTATAATGCAGATAACCACTTGATTAAAAAATCATTAGTCACAGAAAAAGGCGACACCCATTCTACTATAACAGACGCCAAATTCAAATTTCTCCTAAAAACACATGTCCATGGAAATTTTGTTTTGGGGTTACCACCAATTAATCTTCTCGGATGCAGTGGGGTGGGGTGGGTGCTCGGATCTTTTTAAGAGACAGGATATTCTTTCCATCATAGCTTCAAAACATGCAGTTCTACTCCTGCGAAAGGAGGAACTGAATATCAGAATGTGCATATTTCATGTTTCTTTAAACAAATTATTTTTTTCAACCACATCCCCAACACACGCACGCACGCACACACACACACACACTATTTCGGTAATCAGAATATAGAGAACTTGAGGGTTGAGGGATGTAAGTACCGGTTATTATATCTACCGTAGTATTAGTAATAAAAATGTTCGTCTCACATCAGGAATTAGGATTCATGGAACATCAACGAGATATAAAAATCGTGTTTCGTCATCGCGAAATAGAATCATATGTATTAGCGAGGTGGCACTATACACACACATATATGTGTTCATTACGTTTACAGTCAACTGTAGCACCGTCCATCCCATGTTACAACCGGGGTGATGTGATTGTTCTCATGACGCTGTGAGTCCGAGAGAAACAGTTACGTACAGTTGTGCACAGTTGTAGCTGTTCACCAAACTGTGCATTTCGTCCTTGGGTTCATGAAGGATCCCGGTTTACAGTTATACACCTCGGCAAACTCCGGCAGATTCTGCAGCGGAGACACCGCTCTGAAACAGAAAAAAACACAGATTAATATAATAACTCTACATGCATCAATAACCATTTGCAACTTACGCGTGTACAAGGACCTCACTGTTTCGACCATGTTCACAAGCAACCTTTGCACTAACACTTACCATTACTTTAACATACAATTACGACAGTGGTTGTGTTAGATAGCTTTGTAAAAGTCGAGCCAAGACCCCGTGCCACTAACGATCTTAGCGCTGCGACTGGCTTAAATAAATCCCCTACTGGAACAGAGAATTAAACTGAAGTTGTGGTTGTGCGAAGTTAGCTTTCCCTGGACCCCGTTCCCCGAAGCGATCTCATCACTGACACGGTCTTAAATGACCGCCCTTACGTGAACACAGGAAAGAACTTGAGAAGTGCTTAAGCCCCCTTTACACAGGGCTGCGACCTTTGTGCCACCTTTGAGCGATCAAAAACTGGCCAGGACGCTCACTGGTCGCCTAAACCCAGACAATCATGTTTCCGTGTAACTGCTCCAGCAGTTGTTCAGCAGTAACTGCTCGAGTTGTTCAGCGTCTGCAACCACATTGAAACACTGCAGGTACAAGCCCTCCATTTATAGGCAGGCTGAGGAGGAACTACAGGTAGCTCAAAGGAGGCAGAAAAGAGGCAGAAGCTTTGCCATGGTGTCTCAAAGGTTGTCGTGGTCGCCGAATGGAGGCACGGCGGTCGCCACAGTCATCGTTCAATGCACGCTGTTGGTTGCCCAAAGGAGGCACAGGGGAGGCAGAAGCATCGCCCAGATTAACGGAATACATTTGCAGCAGAACACATCTTCTACCTGGCAACCATTGGGGGACCACTGTGCCTTCATTCTGCAACAACAGCAATGCCTGTGCCTCCCTTCTGCCTCCTTTGAGCCACCTTTGAGCAACCAAACTCCTCGGCGACCTTTGTGCGACTGTTTTGAACATGTTCAAAAATTTACGGCGACCATGGCGTTCATTGCGATGTCTGAACCTCCCGTGTTCCACCTTGGAACGACCTAGGCAACCATTCTGCCTACGTTGAGCCTTCAACGACGACCTGGCAAATTTCATGGTCGCACACGGGAGGCACAAAGGTCGCCATCCTGTGTACAGGCCCCATTAGATAGCCTTGTGAAAGTGGACCCCGGGCCCCGTTCCACGAAGCGAACTTAGCGCTGCACTGTCTGAAATGAACGCCCATACGTCAACGGAGCATAACCTATGAAGTGGTTGTGATAAGATAGTTAGCCCTGGATCAGGCGCCTAGCGCCACGACAGTCTTTATTCCTTTGCCATGACATACATTAACGATAGTCGTTATGTTAAAATCACGTTGTGCAACTTGGTCCTGCTTCAGGTCCCAACATGTTTCTTTCTATTTCGCATAGCACATGTTGGAAAACGTCGTTAACGTCCCTTGCTATAACGCTTCACGAGTTAACTGTGTTATATGGCGAGGTAATTTGTTGTTAAACAATAATTGCAAGTGTATTACATTGTTTCTGTTGAGATTCAGTAGAAGTTCATTGCATTGTATTTGGACAATGATTAGCTGTCGGGAATGTAGTACTATTTAATGTAACCAGTGATGAGGAAGTTATTATATATAGATGCTCGAATTATCTGTAAACTTCCGGAATAGCATGGATGGATGTCAAACGCTACAGAAACATGTGGAATATTCTATGATGTTCCAGTGACACTGGACTGGTCAAGCACTGTGTGGAAAGTACTGGAAGCTAGTTAGACTATATGTGGAGCGGGCGCGTGTCTTTCATCTCACATTTCATCGGACATTACATCAAGACCAACTTTTGTGTGACGATCACATTTCACCCTGGATTCCTAGCCGAGGCCTATCTCGGAAGCTTGACCACTGTTGTGGCGAAGTGATTATTGCTCCTGTCATTGTCATTTCCACTGCTCTCACACTGTATACTGTCATTGGATATTATACTACCAGTCTATTGTGCATTGACATTGTAATTGCTGTGCAGTAATTAGTATTGATTTGTAAACCAAGTTAATTTTGTAATACAATCGTTGATTGTATACCATTTGTTGTTTGTTGGTTGGTTTCACACTAAATCGTTTTATGTACAGATTTCTGAGTTAACATATTGTTTCAATTTGGGAATCGACACGTAACAACTGAGCTTGCATATATGGCACACGTCCACTGATTAAATAGGCCGGCCGGCCTGCCCAAGTGAGTTCGACAGATTGACGGTATACTAGTAAACTGATGATGCCCTGACTGTTCTTACAAATTAGACTCGATGAAACATAGGAAAAGCATGGATCCTTTCAATTTCCAAAGCAAATTCCCGGACAGTTATACGGGTATAACTCGAAATAGATATGAAATCGTTTGATTACATTTAATTTTTTAAGTGAGTGGTTGAGATGGGTTTAACTGCGTTGAAAAGTATTGCAGTTAAACCACTGGTTCAAGACGTTTGTCAATTTGGTAAAACCGACGAGCACGGGTATGGTGCTGACAAACCTAGAAACATAATTGGGGGGCGAAGCGTGAACCAACGACCCGGCATAGGTTTCTTGTATGCCAAAGGGAGGTAACTCTGGACAGCGAATAGCGGCGCCTTTAGGGACTGGGACATATCTCATTCTGAATTACAGAATATGTTTGACAAATTTGCTTTTAACGAGATAAATCCAGAAAGTATGTTGACCCATTTTAAAACCAAATGAGGAGTGATTTGGCAAATCCAATCTGGGTTTGAGCTACACTCACAGAATGCTATGAACACATGCACAAGCGCAGCAAAACACGAATGTGGGTTGCGTTTGAATAAAAATAAAAGCGCTCATAAAATTTCCGCTTGCTGTTGCGGCTGCCTCATCGCCAACAGGGGCAGATGCGTTGGTAAAGATGAAACGTTCACCTGAGTCGGTTTGGGCTGTGGTAGTCGCTGTAGATATTTCGCTCTGCTCTCTCCTTTCTGATTTTCGTGCACCAGACCTGGGGATAAACAACAGCGGGGTTACATCACTCCCGCTTCCGACCGGTGGACGACGAATTTATCTAACCGCACACCTTATTTCAATACAGGTTTGTCTCATGCAAACATCCCTTGGTCTGAATCGGTAGGAATACCACAGAATACCACATTCCGGAGAATGGCGTCTTACATCAGTAATTCGAGAAACAATATCGCGGTTGGTATGTGGCAAATGTAACGCCAACAGTTCGGCAATTCGAACGTGGACCATAATAGTGAGTGAGTGAGTGAGTATGGTTTTACGCCGCTTTAAGCAATATTCCAGCAATATCACGACGGGGGACACCAGAAATGGGCTTCACACATTGTACCCATGTCTGGAATCGAACCCGGGTCTTCGGCGTGACGAGCGAACGCCTTAACCACTAGGCTACCCGACCGCCCCTGGACCATAATAAATATGCGTTACATGTTTGCGGGGTTCATTGAACATATTAGAATGGGTCTCAGCCATTCAGAACAGACATTCATGTGTGAGGTAATTTAATGTCTCATGCCTACCTGGCTCCACGCCAGGAAGAACAGCTGGTTGTGATTCAGGGTCATTCCGGGGAGGGGTGCCTCCTCCGCACCTCGGTCAGCTACCCACTTCCGGTATGCCTGGAATACGACATAAACTATCCATGAGCAGCAAAAAATTAGTTAAGGTGTCAACAATATTCCAGCTATATCAAGGCGGCCTCTTATCCCCTCTGGAAACAGGCAAACTAGTTGATTGAGGCAGGAACAACGACCCACGTCATAGACTGGTATCCTGTCCTTCTAGTGGCTGCACAAATTAGTAGTGCGGTGAGGAGCGCAAACGGTCTAGGCAAACCAGTCTAGCCTCATTGCCTTGTAGACATAGCGTCTGCCAGAAGAGCGGTAGGTCAGAGGTTTGATCTTACAAATTTACATTTACACAGCTCGACTGTAACATCTCATAAACCTCGATTAGGGTACAGGGAACAATTACGTTCATAGACATATCTGCCCTGAAGATGTATAATAAAATGTGCTTACCTTGTAACTCTGTTTTACTCCACCGCTGTCGGCAATGTCCTCGCCCATGGTTAACAAGCCGTTAACCTGAAAGTACACATAGATTATGATGTCACTGGTGAGCTACCGCCTCGGTGGTCTAGTGGATAGGGCGTCTGCCCGGAAAGCGGAATGTCGGTGGTTCTTTACCCGGCTCCGCCATACCAAAAGGCGTTAAAAGAGGATACTTGTTGTTACCCTGACTGGCTCGGCATTAAGGAGCTTAAACAAGGACTCAGTATCAATCAATCAATCAATCAACTAGCAAGCAAGCAAGCAAGCAAGCAATTCACGTACGTTAAGTCCAGCTTCAGGGCTAACGTAACTTGACGTCTGGTTCACAAAGCACTTTGTGGCATTCTGGAAACGGTCAATCACGATCTGATCCCACCACTGTCGCAGGTTTCCGTCTTTGTCCCTCTGTCGGCCTGCGATTGAAGAGTTATAACAATATTCATTGAGAAAAGTTGTCTCCCATTACTAATCCGCACATGCGTTAACAAAGCGCCGTTCCAACCTGGTTTAAACTGCCAAATCAAATGGTAGGCGCTGTCACGTTAGTATGACGCCGACGGGTCATAGTAGGACCCGAAAACCATAAGGAAATAATATGAGTTCACGAACATATAATATATCTCGCCGACTTATGAAAAAAACACGTTCTCAGTCGGGACCGCCTCCGTGGTCTAGTGGATAAAGCTTCTGGAGCCGAAGACTGGTGGTTCGATCCCATGGTCGCGTCATACAAACGACATTAGACGATGACACTTGCTCTTGCCCTGCCTGGCGCTCGGTATGAACGATATTAAAAAAGGACTGGTCGGCTCGGAGTCAGTAAACCGTGTCTGAGTGGGGTATCCATGTTAAACTGTGGCATGGTATCTCAGTGGGCTAGTCCTGACTAGCACATGTAGCCACACATATCAGAGAAATAATCTTGAACTCGACGTTAAGCCTTATTTCACCTCACCATACTAAAATGTCACATAACGAATTGATAAGCATTCACTGTTGTATAGAACAGGCTCAATTCTCTGGGATCCTGTTGACCCCAACGATGTCTCGCAGGCTGCAGTGGTCAACACTAAACACAGCATCAATTGGTCATCACAAACAACAAATAGCGCACTACGTGTTTGTATATAAACTAAAATTGCGTTCGTCAAAATCATTGTCTATCTATTGACCTACATGATGGTAGAACATGTACTAAACTTTTGTCATGGCCCAATACACTGCATTGGGAATACAAATCATCTCAATTTTACTATTTTCAGACACAACTTACCGTAGTTGTCGAACCCGTGCGTTATCTCATGTCCAATGACGCTGCCCACACCACCAAAGTTTATTGAACTGAAACACGTGATGTTAGAAATTAAACATTGATTCTCAATGAGTGAGTCCCAGGACCATAGCTTACATCAAACGCTTTAAAAGCGTACGGACTTTTGACGTGTTTACAGTCTCACTCGCAAGTCAAGGATAAGTCTGCAGAACCCAATGCTTATAAAGTCGACTTGAATTACAGTCTCATTAAAATCGAATACTTTACTCCAGTACAAGACCTATATGATAGTCCCACACAGAAGGCCGCGTTAAACCTGGATAAACCTTGGCCCGATCAGTCTAAATCAAGAATCCGTGGGTCCTTGAGCCATTGTCACTTTTCTAACACGATTCGGTTTCTTTTCTTTACCATCTCGATTCGGACATTTTGATTCCAACGAAATGAAACCCTAACAGAATATTCAGAGTATAAATACTACCTTGTGGCTGAAAATGTCATGGCACTCAGAAAGGCCAGGGTTTATAAAATATTAATAACAACATAACGACACGTTCTTATTATTATTATTTACATTCGGAACTGGCTGTTTAAGTGAAACTTCGTTTTCGAGATACAGAAAACGCTTCGTTCACTCATCACGAGAAGCGTCGACGCTTAGATTAGAAAGTTCATTTGGCACGACCTCCTATGGAGGTGTCCTCGAATCTTTAGCAATCGCATCAGAGTAAAAGATCTGATTTTTAATAATGAGATGGATGAGGATGGTTGGTAGTCTGACTTATTGTGTCCAACTGGAACTGGATTCAAGGTAATCCTCCAGAGTCTTACAGACATGGGATAGTGAGGACCCATTCAGCCCTAGAAGTACACTGATACATCTCGTATTCACTGATGAAGGCAAGATTCGCATAGTCACAGCGTCTTACCCGGGTTGGCTCTCGCTGTAGAATGGCTCCTGGAGAATGCCAGCTGGAAATACTGGAATTGGAACAAATGTGATTACAGGTAAATGCGAGACAGGTACACTCGCGGGGCATGGGTGAGCGAGGAAGTCTGGTTTTAGTAAGATTTCAGTATTTCCGTGTTCGTACTATAACAGAAAAGCGACGCATGCCGGCCATGTTTATCATTACCACCTTGGTGAAACCATTTGCAACGAGCACGGTAAGGTGCAAACATCTTCCCGAGGCAAGGGAGTTAACTGACTACAAAAGTCCAGTTTCCAGCCTTGCCGACCTAGTCTGGAATTCCTGGCCCCGATCGTAGCGCCACCAGTGGATATTACGAATTATGTCCCTTCTATGCCTCTCCTATAGACCAATCAGATTCTACCTCTAATATCACTTGCATTTGTTTAAAACAAAATAGCGGCGCCCAGTCAAGACGATCTGATCTGTAATCCATATCTATATTGTGATAAAACGGGTCTTACTTCGCGAAGTGCATCAAATTATGTGAGCACCTTGATTAAAAACATCAAAACATTAAAAAAATATCTGTTGACAACGAGTTGGCAGTGCACATGCTTTGCAAATCCTGCAATCGACCGAAATCTGCATGACAGTTTACGAACCGGATTTCGATTTCGTTGCGCGATTTTGATTGGACTATACATAGACTCGTTAGTCCAGCCAAACTGTAACTCCATAATACCAGCCTAGTTCGGCAAGGGTTGAAACTGGACTTTTAAAGTCAGTTGACTCTCTTGCCTCGGGAAGATGGGTGCAAACGAATCAAGATTCAGTTAAAAAAATTTATTGTCCAATTTGTTTGGTTATACGCCGCTTTTAGCAATATTCTAACATTACACGACGGGTTACAACAGAGATGGGCTTCACTCATTGTTTGTTTGTTTGTTTATTGTTTAACGCCGTAGTCTGCGCAGTATTGCGAGATATGTGACGACGGTCTGTAAATAATCGAGTCTGGACAATCCAGTAATTGACGTCATCCAGGTAATTGGGATACGATGACAAGTCAGTGAGCCTGACCACCCTATCCTGTTTGTCGCCTCTTACGACGAGCATTGCTTGCTGAAGACCTGTTCTAACCAGGATCATCACGGGTCTCACTCGTGGTACCCGTATGGGGAATCGAACTAGGTCCTTCGGTTTTAAGAGCTAACGCTTTAACTACGGGGCTATCCCACCGCCTAAAGACGGTATTGGGCCATCAAACTCAAAGTCCAGACAGACGTGCGGCTTGCCTGTGCAGGGATCCACACCGTCATGTCATACCGGGGTCGTTATACCGGGGTCGTATTCTGACTCGGAATCATTTTGGGTGTAATTAGGATTTATTAACCTCAAGTGACATAATCCAATTGTTCGCCCATCGGGTTAAGTCTCGTGTATGGGGAAGGGATGTTACAATATCCCCGTGTGTTTTGTGTACAGGTTCCGGTGATATTGTAACGTGTGAGTGAATGTCCCTCGCTGGAGATTTGCTTTGCATTTGAACACACTGTACATAAGGAAATCTGCGGAACGAGGTAAAATCAAATGACAAATATTTCTTTACACACGTATTTCAATGGATCGAGCATGCAACCTCCGTATCCGCAGCTAGTAAACAAACCATGATGCTGATAACTCACAACGCTTCTGAAAATCTCTTTTCCAAGTTCATGTTCGCCAGCAAGAGATATTTTACGCCCGATTCCCATGGTTCATTGCAAATTTGATTAAAACGTTATATTGTTCATAAATGTTGTTTCAGATTTGTGGAAAAAAACTCCCCTCGGGATTTTATGAGATTTCAAACCCTCGGATTCGGGTTTTAGATTTCATAAAAATCCTTGAAAGTGTTCACTCACCTATTTCATTCCATGTCGGGTTGTAGAAAGCATTGATCACTGCCGGTTGCACTAGCCATCTGAAAACACAGACAACAAACATAGATGAATAAACAAACTCCACACTTTTGGACAATAAACATAGCAGCAATATTAGACAACAAACACAGATGAATAAACAAACACCACACTATTGGACAATAAACATAGCAGCAATATCAGACAACAAACACAGATGAATAAACAAACTCCACACTATTGGACAATAAACACAGCAACAATATTAGACAACAAACACAGATGAATAAACAAACACCACACTATTGGACAATAAACATAGCAGCAATATCAGACAACAAACACAGATGAATAAACATTGACTACAGTAGACAATAAACTAAGCAACAACATTAACGTACTCTCGGGACATACTTGCAACGTAACAAACATTGGCGCACCAATAAACAAGGATTAAAACAGCTTATAGAAGACAACAAACACAGATGAATAAACATAGATAATAAACAACACACTGAGGACCAATTTATTATTTGTCGGACGGAAATAACGGTTTCTTTTTTATTTCAAGACACGAATGTCAATGTTTTCCCTCGACACATATTAATGTTTCATAAAAAACATATTATATCGAATATTAGATATCACTGGTTATAGACTTTGGATCCGAGCGTTTGGAGATTAACATGACCGAAAAATTTTCTTTCTGAAAACAGAAAAAAGCATAGATGATCAGAAAATCTGCATCAACACAGATCATTATTCTCGTTGATTTTCAGTTTATTTATTTTTATTTATTTATACATTCATTAATATTTTTTATACAGTTATACCACAACGGTTAATAACTGTGTAACCGCTTCCGTGGTCTAGTGGAAAGTGGAAAGTCGGTGGTTCGATCCCCTAGCCGTGTCATACCAAAAGACGATCAAAGATGGTACTTGTTGTTACGCTGCCTGGCGCTCGCCATTAAGGGGATAAAACAAGGACTGGTCGGCTCGGAGTCAGTATACTGTGTCTGAGTGGGATATCCATGTTAAACTGCGGCATGGTATCTCGCTGGGTAAGCGCTTTAAAACCTGCGTTAGTCCGGACATGTTCATGCAGTTAAAGACACACACACGCGCATGAACGCCTGCGCACACGCAAACTCGTTGCTATAATTAACAAGTCCCTGGAGACTTTGACGTCATAGTGGAACTCGATTTCCATTATTTATTTTTTAAATTTCTTACGTGATACATAGTTATACTGTTTACAAATCCATTTCATATATCTTTATGGCTTTCAGATTGTAGGCAGTATTGTGTTCGCTTTAACTTTACGTGAAGCTGTCCAAAAAATGTTTTCGCCGCACTGTACTTTTATGGGTGTACGATTTAAAGTTCATGACGTAACAATCTTAGCGGTACGACGATTAAAACTCCCATACGTTAAAATAGACTAATGACAGTCGGATCGCTAAGAAATGAATTGAAATTACGAGAAAACAATCAAATTAACGAGAAAAGACTCGAAATTTCGAGAAAAATAAATAAATAATTGAAATAACGACAGATATCGATTTAAAAAAACTTCTTTGGAGTAGAATATATCTGACATCTACCGTTCAATATTTGACGAAGCACAGCACATGTTTTCTGATTCGAGTTTTCACACTTACTCGGATCTGTCTACTTTGAGTCGGAGGGAACGCAGATGTTTTCTTGAGGCCTGCTGTAGTTCTATCTGGACGTTTTCAAAGTACAGGCTTGTGTTGAATATATGCTGAAAAAGACACGATCAATACTCGTTGTAAATTACCCATACAAATCGTCAAGATGGACATGCAGCTCATGAAATCCAGTACACTCCGCTTGTGACATACACTGCCGGGCAAAAGAAAATATACACTTAAAAATCCGATATGGCTAAACGATTATAAATGTTATCAAAATGTTACCCTGCTGAAAACATTCGCCGAAACGCTGCAAACGGCTGAAATTACAACTATGGTACCCGTATCACATACATCACCATCGAATTACCTTTTCTTGTTTGTTTCATTTTAAGTCAGGGGGCACGGGAGGCCCAGTCGTCTTAGGCGACGCAATTCGCTGTGCAGAGTTGCGTCCCTTGGGCACGCCAGAAACCTATGATTGTGGATTCGAAACCCGGTTCGCCCCGATTATGTTTCTAGGTTTGTCAGCACCATACCCGTGCTCGTGGGTTTCACCGAAGTGGTTAACGTCTAAGACCTGCATCACTTCGGGC